GCCTCGGCGGGGGGCGGGGGGGCTCCTACCAGCTAAGCCTGTTCTGTGGAATCCCAGACCTCCAGTGCTGGGTGCAGTGCCCATAGATAGATCCACATCTTAGCTCTGCCTGCCAACAGCTGTGTACCATCTCCCATCAAGTCCACATGAGCCCTAAATATCTTCCTCTGGGTTGATTTGGGACTGGGCAGGAGGAGGCCCTAATGAGATGTTTCCAGGCTGGAGGAGGAACCCACCCCTTGCTTGATCTGCTGGTAGCCTTGGCCATAATTGGATTCGTCATCCTCACTCCACACCCCCTGAATGCCAGCCGAGCTCCACAAGGATGAGGTGATTCTCTAACGGAAGGGCACCAGCTGTTCTCCAGTTTCGGCTGCAGTGGAAGAGATTTCTACCAGCTAGGAAGAAAGAGATACTGTCCAACAGGCAGACCAGAATGATCGGCCACAGGAGGCTGTGGGCACCGCATCTGCTTTGGAGCACAGGGGCCTGAATACATGGAAAGTCGAGGTACAGAAAGGTGCCATCACAAAGCAGAGAGGGGACGTCGCTTTAGTGGAGCACCTCCGACCCGCCCGGGCACTGGCACCTCCTTCCTCCCACAGCTCTAGGAAGCAGATTTTCTTATTCTCTTTCTGCACATGAAGAAACTGAGATTCAGAGACAGAAGTGACTTGTTTATGACCACGCAGCTAGGGGGTGGCCACGCCAGAATTCAGACCCTGACTGCCTGACTCCAGAGTCCACACTCTCCCACCACCCTCTGCCTGTGGGGCACTACAGAAAGAGAGCTCTGGAGTGCCTAGCCTCAGGAAGCTCCCAGTGGTCTCTCCATCCAGAGCGGAACCCTGCAGGGGGCACTCGGGGTGCCCACTGCCAGGAGGGAAAACTGTGTCTGGGAAGGGAGAAGGAACTGCTATAGCAACTAACAGATCAACAAGCCCTCTTGCCTCCCATCTCCCCCAGAGGTGCCCTGTTCTTGAACTCCTACCAGGCCCTCAATCCCTTCTCCAGTCACTCCGCCCTCACCTGCCACTGTGAGAGTCTGCCTGTTTTCCGGGAAGGAGGCACTACACCTCCACTGGTCGCTGGTCTAGCAGAGCTCAGTGAGGGCAGAATCTACTCAATACCTGACAGATGCTCAATAGATACAGAGTAAAACTGTGCTCTTTACTTAGGTCTCAACAAACACAAGTGTGACTTTAAAAAACAAAAACACTTGCAGAGTGACTTTTCCGGGACCAAGTACCTAGACATTGATACATTGAGTACCATGCGTCAGTGTATTAGTGTCACAATAATAAAGCCTCCATGGTACCAAAGGTCTAACCTTTTCTTTTTTTTTTTTTTTTTTTTTTTAAGAATTGACTATTGGGCCAGGTGGCGCAGTGGTTAAGGGTGCTAGACTCCCACATGGCTGACTACGGTTCAAGTCCTGGACCTGGCAGCTTGCTTTCTCACTTTCCCTTTCTCTCTCACTCTGTCCCTCTCTGTTCAAATATAAATCAAATATAAATAAATAAATAAATAAATAAATAAAGTTAAAAAAAGAAGAATTGATTATTTAATTTTATTTATTATTATCAGTTTTTTTTTTTTTTTTGGAGAGATTTTCCCTGTAGTG